ATGCAAGAAATGCCCTTGTTGCAACACCCAACAATCAAGTTTGAGAAGAAGATTTGCTGACCGACTGATGACACTAACACTTGTGGTTCCAAAGTCGGCGGCCAAAACACTTTTTTCCAACAGAGCGGATCTCTTCGAATCCAATGGCACCGGTGACAGCAGTTGAGCCCAGTAGGCCATTTCTGGCTCCGGCTCAAAGTTGTCTAATTAGATCTAATTAATTTCATGAAATGAAATAAAATGTTTGTACTTTTTTATTAAATTGTTGTCTTAGGTTAAATAAATTGTGAAGTTTTGCTATACATTCTACTTTCGTGCACAAGTTATGGTTTTTGCTAAAAAAATGTACATGAGAAATGCTTATGAGGAAAAGATGTGTGCTGATCAGCAGTGATGATGAAGTATTGATGGTTGGTTCTGCAGTTCAGTCGAATGTGTGCAAGGCTCAACGGTCAAAGACAAGCACCCAGCCACCGCCGCCCTCTTTGTTGGTGAGAACTTCGATTGCTTTCAGTGTAAGCATCCTATCCGTTTCAGTGCACTCCTCACAAATATATTGAGGTCGAACCCCAGCAAAGTTATCGGCCGGTTTATTTGATTGTGGTTTTTTTGAAGACGGTCCTGCAGCAGATGACTGGTTCTCTGAAACGGCAGATGTCTGGTTCTTTACAACAGCCGAAGGCTTTTTTTCCAAAACGGCAGATGACTGGTTTTTCAGAACGGCAGGCTTTTTAGAGTTGTTGATCGAGTTTGTTTGGATTTTTTCAGTGTTTGCTTCAGTTACTTTTCTGATTAGGAAAAAGAACGAAAATTAAAATAATAATTTTAAACACATTGTCATTTAATTTTGCGTAAAAAAACTACCACCACTAACCTGAGAACGTTTTCATCAAAGTCAAGATCGTTGGTCGGTGTAGCTTTAAATTGTTTCTCACAAATGCCAATTGCGTCGGCAATTGTTTTGCCATCTTTGAATGAGCCAGTCAGTGACAGCATTTGCTGGAAAGCAATCTGCAAGTCTTCTTCAGCAATCGGATTGGTGTCAGGTTTTAAATAAGGAATGGTGTTTTTGGTACTTTCTTTAAATGATTCCCACTTTTCAAAATTTTCTTCAAAAAAGAAGAAATCCTGTGGCAACGCAGTGATAGCGTTTTCAAATTCTTCTCTATTCATGTTTTTTAAAGGAATGATGTTACCACTTTACAAAATACTTAAAAAGTGAAATTATTTTTGCTTGCAAAACCTGTAAACAAACAAGCAGGCTGCACTCGCTTTGTAAATGTGAGCTTTCTAGCGCCTTTCCATAAAGCGTGTGTCGCTAGAATTTGTTTTCGCAAACGGCCAGCTAAACCAGTGCGTACCATTTGGAGATGCTGCTATGCATGCTGCTGCTGGTGCTAATTTAGCTAGCCGCATTGTTTGAAACTTTAAAATACTTGTATTTTAAAAATCAGTATTTTTCAAACTAAAAATGCTGAAAAGTGTAGGTAAAATCTTGTACCCGCCACGGAAAGCAAAGCTTCCCTGATGCATTGCTGATTTGATGACGGCTAAAGGCTGAACCTATTTGCACATGAACAGTGTCAAAGACTGTTCACTCAGTGTTTGTTAAACTCCGCCTATCGCAGCAGCAAGCATTTGGCGCATCACACTTGCACGAATGCCGGCACATTCTCAGCAAACCAAACATTGTGTATTAAAACACTTAATTTCTAAGCAAACGTAAGTTGTTTACTGGATTTGAAGGTCACCCAATTTATTATTTTTACACTCTTTTTTAACAAAACATTGTTTGTTCTACATTTAAGATAATGATCAATATTTTATTGAAAATACATTGGCATTCGCCGAAAACTGCTTTTTTATGTTCCAGTATGCAGCAAGTTTGTTTTGGTGTTCCAAGTACTAAAAAGGTGCTGAGAAACCAGTGCAATCAACAAAATGATAGCAAAAATAAGGTGCGTTTGGTTCTGTCTTTTGTTGTTTGATTAATTTAAACCTATGGCTGGAAAGTATCAGCAATAAGTAATCGCAAAAGGATNCAAGTTTGTTTTGGTGTTCCAAGTACTAAAAAGGTGCTGAGAAACCAGTGCAATCAACAAAATGATAGCAAAAATAAGGTGCGTTTGGTGCTGTCTTTTGTTGTTTGATTAATATAAACCTATGGCTGGAAAGTATCAGCAACCAGTAATCGCAAAAGGATGTTCAGATTATCGTGGTAGCCTGCTGCAATCAATCTCTCTTCATCGTTTTGTCGGCCCGGTGTCAAAGACACTTGATTGCCAATTTACAATTGCAAGTCGCAGATTGATAACTGTCACGGCTAGTAAATCCCTTCCCNTGGCAGATTGATAACTGTCACGGCTAGTAAATCCCTTTCCTTACTGACACAAGCACTTTAAAAGACATGGAACCTCTCTTGCCAATCACTACAATCTGTGCAACTTTTTTAAACCTCCGGCATGACGAGAGAGAGGGAAAAAGTAGTCATCTAATCTGCAGCACACTTCATTTTTATTTATCATCAAATCATGAGAACAACAACAGCAAAAGATCAATATAAAAGCAGACCACCAACCGGGACTAAAATGGTTTGCCACCAGTACCAACCAAAACACCAAAAAGTCGAATCACCAAAATGAAACCAGCCACCACCACTTTGTCCCTTTTGGTGGCCAGCTTTGCCTGTCTGGGCACAGTCACAGTGATAGACTCTGTGGCGGGAAACTCCATCAAGGCCGCCCCTTACTTCATGCCGCTGGACAATGATCCGCAGAGCATCGACGACATCGTCGCCCACTCTGGCATCCGCCACTTCATCTTCGCCTTTGCGCTGGCCACCAACGGCGGCCAGTGTCTGCCGGTGTGGGACGGCGCCAAGGGCCAGCCGGTGGCGGAGGACACGCGCGTCCTGGAGATGGTCCGCAAGGTGCGCGCCCACGGCGGCGACATCTCCATCAGCTTCGGCGGCTACAACGGCGTCGAGCTAGGGCACGCCTGTCACAGCGTCGAGGAGCTGGCCAAGTCCTATCAGCTGGTCATTGACAAGTACCAGCTGACGCACGTCGACTTTGACATTGAGGGAGACGACCTAGGTCCGGAGGAGGAGGAGAATCGCCGCTTTCAGGCGATTCAGATTCTCAAGCGAAACTCCAAGGCGGCTGGAAAAGAGCTGCACGTGACGCTGACGCTGCCCTGTACGACGGTGGGCCTCAGTTTGCTGGGCAAGGATGAGATTAAGCGGGCGATTGCCGTGCAGCCCGATTTGATTGACCTCTACAAGATTATGTAAGCTTTTTAATTCAAGATGTTTTTTAAAACTGCAACTTATCAACACTTTTTGCTGCAGGGCTTTTGACTACGGCGGCCAAGGGGCGAGCATGGCAGCCGACGTAGAGCACATCATGGAGATGGTCCATGAACAGCTGAAGACGTTGCGCACAGACCTGAAATCTGATGCCGAAGTGTACGCAGCCACCGGAATGATTCTGATGAACGGGCACACCGATCAGGCGTTTGAGCTCTTCACGCTGGACACTTTCAGCAAGCTGTTGGAGTACGCGCAGGCAAAGAAACTGGGTCGCCTTTCCTACTGGTCGCTCAACCGGTGAGCTTTATTTAAAACTTTATTTTGATGAACTGTTTTAACAAATTTTCCTTTTTTATCAGCGATCGCCCCTGTCCAGAAGGCAAAACTCTTGGCTGGGCCGCTGGCATCTGCAGCTCCATTCCTCAGCAACCGTGGGAGTTCACCAAAATTATCGCCAAGTTTGACCCATCTAACGGAAATCCGAACCATCAAACAGATGCCCCTCGAACTACCCCCACTGACACGCCCACCGTCACCACTGCCCACTCCTCAAACACTAACACCGAATCGCCGGTGACCAC